CCCTCCTGTCCGGTGTGGGGCAGCAGGGAACTGGGGGCTGGTACCCTCCTGTTCCGCGCAGGAGAGAGGAGTTGGGGGTTACCCGTGGGCAGTTGAGTTAGGAGCAGCTGGACAAGGCGATGCTCTTGGGTGGGGGGAGGGGGAGCCAGCGGAAATGAATTCTTGCCTGACCTGGCTGTGGAGCTGAGGCGGGCGATGAGCTGTGGGAAGAGCGAAGGAAATGAGTTCACCCAGCCTGCCCCCTCAGTGCAGCGGCACAGCAGGTGACAGTGACGACCAGCAGCAAAAGGAAAGGGGGCAAAGTGGCCCATAGCTGGGGGTGGGGGAGGGTTGCTGGACCGTTTCTCACAGCAGAAGGCAAACCTGCGTGGTGGGGAGGGAGGGCATGGGGTGAGGGCAGGCGGTCTGCTTCCACAGCCACTGGAGCTGTACCCCACAGAGCCGTGGAGGGTGGAAAACAATGCTTTGTCTTTTGAGCAGCTCCCTGGGAAGTAGTGGTTATTATCCCCTTGCCAGGGGGAGGAAAGTGAGGCGAGGTGACAGAGAGAGAACCTAGGCGTTCTGACTCCCAGTCCCCTGCTCTAACCACTAGACGAGACTGCCTTCCGGGGGGGGAACAGACCCCAGGAGTTCTGACGCCTAGTCATCTGCTCTAGCTACTAGTCCGTAGTTCCTTGTTACACTGGGGTATAACCCCAGAACTGTGATTCCCGATCCTGTGCTCTGACTCCGCGGCCACGTTCCCTTGCCCCGGTGGGAACAGAACCGTGGGGCCTCTGTTCTGGGTGCCTGCTCTGGCAGGGGGAGGAGGGGGAGGAGCAGGGGCCATGGGTTAGATTCAATGAGCTGCTGTTCACAGGTGGTGCTGCGGCTCCCACTGCCCATGATGACCAGGTGTCCGGTTTTCGACTGGAACAGCCGGTCGAAAAGGGGCCCTGGTGGCTCCGGTCAGCACCGCCGACCAGGCTGTTAAAAGTGCGGTCTGCAGTGCTGCAGCGCTAAGGCAGGCTAGTCCCTACCTGCCCTGGCACCACGCTGACCCGCAGAAGCGACCAGCAGGTCCGGCTGCGCCCCAAACCCCTCATCCCCGGCCCCATCCCAGAGCCCTCACCCCCCTGCACCCCAAACCCCTGCCCCAGCCCAGAGCCCCCTCCCGCACCCCAACTCCCTACCTTAACCCACAGCCCCCTCCCACACGCCGAATCCCTTGGCCCCAGCCTGGAGCCCCCTCCTGCACCCCAAACCCCTCATCCCCAGCCCCACCCCTGAGCCTGCACCCCCAGCCAGAACCTTTACCCCCTCCCACACCCCAAGCCCCTGCCCCAGCCCAGTGAAAGTGAGTGAGGGTGGGGGAGAGTGAGCCACCGAGGGAGGGGGAAATGTAGTGAGCAGGGGTGTGGACTCAGGGAAGGGGTGGGGCGGGGCCTCGGGGAAGGGGCGGGGCTAGGGTTTTCAGTTTTGTTGGCAGCCCGGTGCCTGCTGCTGAATTGATTGAGGATGGGGAAGAGCAGGGGGACCCGTGCTGCCCACCCAACCCCCAGGCCTAGGGGGACCCACACCCTAGCTGTCCCATAGCAAGGAAAGGCCCACACTCCAAACTGTCTCTCCCCCGGATCTAAGCAGCCATTTTTCTCTCCTGTGCGTCTCTCTGCCTCGCTGGGGCCTGCCCGACCCTTTGCTAGATCTGTGTATTGCAACTCATTGTTCCACCTCCCGCTGCAGCTGGGGGATGAGTTCTTGGTGTGGCTCCCGCCTCCCCCCACCACGCACACCTCCCCCCGCGGTAGAATGTCAGGGATAAAGCACCTGTTGGGGGGACATTCCCAAGGGAAAAGGGCCAGGCTGAATGGCCCGTAGCCGCAGCCAGCCTTGGCTCGCAGGCAGCGGGTTGTTTCAGCGGCACTAACTGGGACAGGATTGGTGGCTCGGGCAATGGGGAGCAGGAGCTGGGAGTGTGATTATTTATGGAGTGCCAGAGGTGCTTTGCACACAAGCCCACAGTCCAGTTAGATGCAGGCCAGCGGGGGGATGGCAAACCAAGATTCAGGGGGAGTGGGGGGGGAAGGGCTCCAGCCAGGGAAGGAGCATGCGCACGGTGTGCTTGGGGATGAACGTGCCCTGGTTCGTGAGAGGTTTTGTTTAGAAAAGACAATGTGCTACGATGCGATGGGCTGGGTGACGCTGCCCTGTACTGGAGACTGGTCAGCGGTGTGCCATAGGCCCGATACTGCTCCTACCTGCCGGTGCGTTTCCAGGAGCAGGAAGGGGCCTGTTTTGGAGCATGAGTATCTGAGTCTGGTCGGCTGGAAAGGCCTGGGTGGATGTGGGGTGAAGCACAGCAGTGGTGGCTAGGAATTGATGCCAGAATCATAGAAATGTCAGGCTGGAAGGGACCTGAGGTCAGCTTGTCCAGTCCCTTGTGCTGAGGCAGCGCCATTGAACCTGGCTCGAAGGAGCAAAGGCCCCCAGGAGGCAGAGTCTGGCTGGGGACAGGGAGGCACTGGCCAGAAGAGTTCAAGGGGGAGATGCTGATTCCCTGGTGGGTCAGTGTGTGGGGGGGGGGAGGGGGAGGTCAGTGTGTGGGGGAGGGGGGATCTGTGTGTGTGGGGGGGGTGTCTCCTGCTGCGGGAAGGGAGATGGGCCTTTCCCCTGTACAGCTGGACTTGGGAGCAGGCCTGAGGCTCGGGCACAGAGCAGCTGAGGAGGGACTGGGCTGCTGGCAGGAATCATGGGCTAGGCCTGTGAGGGTCTCTAAAGCCTGTGTCAGACCCCAGCAGTGCCCTGGGTGTGAATGGGATTGGCCCCCTCCCCGCTGTTGAGCACCCCCTCCCCCCCCGGGGGGGGGCCAGAGACTTGGGGATGGGGAATCAAGCAGGGGTTTAACCCCCAATTGTTGGGGCACTTCAGCTCTCCGAGCTGGGTGCACGAGGAGAAGTGGGAGCCCCTTGCCCCCGGTGCCTGCCCCGTCCCTGAGGCTGAGCAGGGGAGGCCTTCCCTGCACAGCTCTGGATTGGAGAGCAGCTTGAGATCACATTGCCCCCCCAGTCCCAGCTCCTTCCCAGGCCGCGAGCCCCGGAACAGCCTCCCGCTCCCCCAGCAGTCTCTGCCAGCCTGAGAGGCATGTTGCTCTCCTCGCCTGTTCTCACGGTCTCTGCCTGGAGTTGGGGATGCTGGATGCTGGGGGGCAGGCTGCCAGCCATCTCCGGGCCTGGGCTGCCCCCTGGTGGCCATGAGCGGGGCTCTCTGGTGAGGAAGGCTGGGATAAAGCAAGATAGACTCCCTGGGCCAAATCTATCCCTGGAGTAAAGCCATCCATCCCCATGACACCAGTGCCCCGGTGGGCTCAGCCGTCAGCTCCCCACGGGTTTTGAGGCTCTGGAGACCTCCTACCCCAGTCAGGGGGTTGGTTCCTGACATGGCTACATGAGAGGATTTGCACTGACTGGCTTACAGTAGGGAGCAGGGGAGACTGGCCTGATCCTCCTCCTGTGCCCCATTCCCTGAATGCCAGGCTCTTTGCAGCAGATTTCAGGGGCGTTGCCAGTGAAGGCTACCGTGAGAATGGGACGGGTTCTGGACTCAAGTGTCAGGGTGCGCCCAGCGCAGCCCATGGCCTTAGTCACTAAACCCCGCAAAGCCAGAGCCTCCCTGCTGCTTTTGTATGATGTGTGTCCGGTGCGCTGATTCAGCAAAGCGGGGCTGCACCCAGAGAGCTCTGCAGCTGGACAGCCCAATCCGGGGGGGGGGGGGTGTCCCTGCACCGAGTCTCTTCCAGCTGGAAAGGAAAATCCAGCTCCGGTACTTGTATTCCCCCCCCCGATTCCCATCTGACTCTACCGTGTTTCCCCGAAAATAAGACAGTGTCTTATATTAATTTTTGCTCCCAAAGATGCGCTAGGTCTTATTTTCAGGGGAGGTCTTATTTTTCTTGTCCTGGCGGCGGCCTTATATTCCGGGGTGGCCTTATTATGGGGAGGTCTTATTTTCGAGGGATGCCTTATATTACAGCGAGAGGCAAAACTGGAAGTAGGTCTTATTTTCGGGGAAACAGGGTAGTGCACTCTGCCTTGATCCGCAAAAAGAACAGGAGTACTTGTGGCACCTTAGAGACTACGCAAAAGAATAAATGGACACAAATCTGACATCAGGAATCATAACATTCAAAAACCAGTGGGAGAACACTTCAACCTCTCTGGCCACTCAGTGACAGACTTAAAGGTGGCAATTTTGCAACAGAAAAGCTTCAAAAACAGACTCCAACGAGAAACTGCTCAACTAGATACCATCAATTTAGGCTTGAATAGAGCCTGGGAATGGCTGAGCCATTACACACATTGAATCTATTTCCCCATGTTAAGTATCCTCACACCTTCTTGTCGACTGTCTGAAATGGGCCTTCTTGATTATCACTACAAAAGTTTTTTTTCTCCTGCTGATAATAGCTCATCTTAATTAATTAGCCTCTTACAGTTGGTAGGGGAACTCCCACCTTTTCATGCTCTCTGTATGTGTATATATCTCCTCACTATATGTTCCATTCTATGCATCCGATGAAGTGGGCTGTAGCCCACGAAAGCTTATGCTCCAATCAATGTGTTAGTCTCTCAGGTGCCACAAGGACTCCTGTTCTTTTCGCGGATACAGAATCTGCCTTGGTCGCGCCGCACTTGGGCCAGCCACATGGAAATCCTGCTCTGGACTCTGCTGTCCCCTCCCCACAGGAACGGACTGTGGCTGTAGCACTTTCCCCTGGGTGCACGTGCTGCCCCCCGGCTTGCAGCCATAGTGCCAGGCTGGTGCCCAAGTGCAAGGGGCTGCGCTGTGGTTCAGTGACGATGCTCCGATGACAGGGCTTTTCTCTCCCTGCAGGAGCCACAAGAGACATCGGCTCGGCACTGACCCGGATGTGCATGCGGCACCGCAGCATAGAGGCCAAGCTGAGGCAGTTCACCAAGTAAGTCTGCTGGGCACCGGTGACACGAGTTTCCCAGCCGCAGCCTCCCCGCCCTAAGGATGAAGGAAGTGGCAGTAAGTCTCTTCACACTGCGACAGGCACCCAGACAGCTTTGTCCCGCCCAGGGCCTGATCCAGGGCGGTGCTGAGCCCCCAGTACAGTCCTTGGGTGCAGCTGGGAGCTCTGCATTTCTGAGGTGACTTGGGCCCCATCTGTAAAGGTATTTAGGGGCTGCCCTGCTCAGCACTGCAAGGCCAGCGCCCGGGTCTGCAAAGGTATTTTAGCCACCTCGTTCCCAGCGGCCTCTTTAACCGGGCTCGCTCTGGTGTCTCCTTGGCGCAGCGCCCTGATGGAGAGTCTCGTCAACCCCCTGCAGGACAGGATTGAGGACTGGAAGAAAACGGCCAACCAACTGGACAAGGACCATGCGAAAGGTAAAGCCCAGGTGACAGGCGGGGGGATTGGCTATTCTCCAGGGGATAGTGGGGGGCATGCCCTATCCACCGGGGGATGCACTGTGCCCGGGGGGAGGGGGCACGTCCTATCCACCGGGGGGAATGCACTGTGCCCGGGGGGGAGGGGGCACGTCCTATCCACCAGGGGTGGTGCACTGTGCCCGGGGGGAGGGGGTACGTCCTATCCACTGGGGGACGCTGTCCCTAGGGGATGGGGGAGAACGCGCAGTGCCTGAGGGAGCGGGGGGGGGCAGCAGAGCCCTGAACAGGAAGTGGGGGGGATGCCTGTTAGGGATGTAAAAGGTTAACCCCCCTTAACCGTTAACCCCGGGCTCGCCAGCCAGAGCGGGCTCAGCCGCACCGGCCCTGGCAGGATCGGTTATTGAACCAGTTAGCCGTTTAAACGACCTATTTTAATTGTTTAAACGGTTAACTTTTAAAACGGTATTTACATCCCTAATGCCGGTACCCGGGGGAGGAACACGCTAGGCCCGGGGGAGGGGCTCGCTGTCTATCTGAGGATGGGGGCGGGGGCAGGAAGCTGCAGTAACAGGGGCGGGGAATGTCCTGTGCTCAGGGAGGTGGGGGCCGTGGGGCAATGTGTCATACCCTCCCCTGAGCATAGTGCCTCCCTGCGCAAGGCCGGCCGTGGGGGGGAGACAGACTGCACCCTGGGAGGAGAGCTTCAGGGGAACCAGACTGGAGGGGAGGGGCATGGGGGGAACTATGCTGCAATGGGGGGAGGAGCTCGAGGTGGGGCCCATGTAGCAACAGGGCGAGGGGGGACCACGCCATGCCTGGGAAGGGAGGGCAGTGGAGGGGCGGGAGGGGGGACCACGCCATGCCTGGGAGGGGAGTGGGGGACCACGCCATGCCTGGGAGGGGCGAGGGGGAACCACACCGTGCCTGGGAGGGGAGGGGAGGGGGGACCCCACGCTGTGCCTGGGAGAGGCGGGTTAGGGGAATGTCCTGGGTCGGGGCAGGAGGAATCGTGGGCCGGCTGGGCGGAGGGGTCTGGTGTCCCCGCCTGGCGGCCATGACACATCTCCTGGTCTGTTCTGTGTCCTCAGAGTACAAGCGAGCCCGCCACGAGATAAAGAAGAAATCCTCTGACACGCTGAAGCTGCAGAAGAAGGCCCGCAAAGGTAAGAGCCCTGCCTGACCCCCCATGAGCTATGGGCCTGCCCCCTTGTGGGGGTCTCATCTGCTTTCACACCCAAGCAAGGCTGGGCTGGGTCAGGTGTGGCTGGAGAGGCCCTGGTGCCCCATGGCTCTAGGGGTCACTGTGCTGCCTTCAACTTGAGACCTTCCCTGAGGCCGGGGGCTCTGATGGGGAGGAAGTAGTCAAGACCCCTGTTCACGGTCTCCCCTCCAAGGCAGGACAGAGACCCCAGTGCCACCTGGGCATCCTGGCTCAGGGTTGAGCGTACAAGCGAGCTCCTCGTCCTGCTAGCCACGTTCCAGCTCTGCCTCCCTTGGTTCCCTCCGCAGCTTGAGCTGGGACCAGGATTCTTCTTCCCCCTCCTGCCCCCAGGGTCACGGTATGTCTGCTGTGAAGCAGCCAGTCTGCTCCGCCCCAGAGTTGGCTGCATTCTGTTGTAGCTCACAGGGCAGTGGGGAGGTTTAATTAACAAATGCTGCCGCCATTTGTGCTCCTGGGACAGAGAGTAGCAGACCAGCCTAGTTCTTCAGCTCTAGGTGTTGGGAAGATGGCTTTGATGCTGACAGTCGGGATCCATCTCGGGGGGTTTGTGGGGCTCAGTGACAAGGTTCAGTGGGTGAACAAGCCTGCTGCATTCACCGCGCCCTGTGGCCATGACCCCAGCAGTCTCTGAGGACTCCTGCGGTGGAGATGGCCATGGGGAGCAGGCTGCACTGGGAGGGTTCCAGGTGGGCCGAGAAGGGCAGGGAGTGGAGGCAGCTCAGGCACTGGGGATCCGGCTGGCACCGATGAGCACTGCTTGCGAGGAAGACCAGGCTGGGGAGTCCCAGCCAGGCACTCGCAGGGCACTGCATGAGGACGTTGTCAGAAGAATTTTGGGCATGACAGAGCATTGCTCAGCACAGGGTTCGACAGCAGATCAGTGGTACGCAGGCTCGGTGGAGACGGGGACCCCGTGGGGCACCGACCCCCAGTTGGGGCCTGTGGCCTTACTGCAATGATAAGAACAAACAGCGCCCCTAAAATACCCTCTCCAAAGGCTCCCTGCAGGGAACCCTCCCTTTGTCCGACTGCCCTTATCCCCAGGCACCCAGGGGTGGGGGTGGATCACACAGTCCAGCCACTCCCCCAGCTCCCTTCAATTCCTCATGCTCCAACCCAACACACAAGGAGTTAACACCTCGCCCAACGCAGGATGGGGGCATGCAGGGGGCCCACACGTGTCTGAGCCATGTGTGGGAAGAGGGTGACTGACCTGCCGGCCCTGGGGAGGTGGAGGGGGCAGAGTGTCCGTACATCAGCCTGTCTTTCACACATTCTCTCTCTGTCTCTCTCTCCTCTTTCCTCCCTTCCACATCCTTCCTCCTGTAGAGCTACTTGGTAAGTCAATCGGTGCGAGCCAGCTCCATCCTGCTCCCCCAGCCCTCCCTTGTGACCTGCGCTTCATTTATCTCTGTCTCCCCTCTGGCTGAGCTCAAAATGAAACTAACCCGAGTCAGACTGCACTGGTCCAGGCCTTCCCTGCTTGCCTGCCTTTCTGGGCCGGTGCCCCCTCGCTGTGGGTGGGCATGGAGCTCCAGGCCAGGCTAGCTTCACCCCATATGGGTGGCTGCAGCAAGGCACGTGCCATGCGCTTGCTCCAGAGTCTCGTCCAGGGGGTGGCCCAGGCGTTCAGCTCTGGTTCCCGGGCAGCGGGGTGGCCCCTTCCGTCCTGTGGCACCTCCGCCGTGCTGAGCTTGTTCTGCCCCCCATGTGCTGTCAGCTGCAATGGTGCCATGCCTGGGTTCTAGCTGAGAGCTGGGAGATCTCGGGGAATCCCCGTCTCCACCCCCAAAGGCTGCGGGGAGGATGTTCCCCGCTCGTGTGCAGGTGAGGAACAGCGCTCACAGAGAGCAAGGTCCCCCGCATGCCCCAGCCTCTGGAGTCCTGCCCCCTGTGCTGGCTACAGCCCCATCCGCGGGTACGTCCCTCTGCCAGCTGAGCAGGCCTGACGTCCCTGTGGCGCATTGGAAACGCGAGGATATGGCAGCCCCTCTAGGGGGTCAGAGCCCCCATGTACACCCAGCAAGCATGGGTTTCATATCCAGCCCTCCCGCCCCGGCTTTCTCCTCTCTCTCTCTCTCTCTCTGCCCTGTTCCTTCAGGGTTCGCATGCTGTAAGCCATGTGGTGAATGCTGAGATTTCCCTGCCGGAGGCCCAGATCCCTCCTGGAGAGTGACACGGATTTCCAGCCCCAGTTGGGCCTGTGGGAAGCCATTTCCCCTTGCTCTGCACTCCAGCTCCCATCTGGCTCTGTCCCTGTGCCTGCTGCCCACTAGCAGGGTCTCTGATTGCTGCCTCCTCCCACCCTCGCTGGGCTTTTGATGTCTAGGAGGCAGGAGTTTTCCCGGAGTAACCCTTCCAGTGACACCTGAGCTGTGGTGCTTGTGCCAGCTGGACTGGCTTGTGAGTCCCTCCCGCTGGCCTGTCTCTGAACCGTTGTGTGTCAGAGAACTCCCAGCCAGGGGTCTGTTCCGGGATCCCCACTCCCACTGCCCAGGCCAGCTCTTCACTCCGGGCATTGTGCCCACGTTCCTGCGGCTTGGCTCTGGGCTTTGGGGCTGGCCAGATAGGAAATTCAGACGGGGATCCAGGTCCAGATTCCAAACTGCCACAGACTGGGCCAGGGGCTGATTCGGACCCTCTCTCCTGTGCCCAGGCAGCCCTCTCTGGCACTCTGCCTGCTGCCTGGTACCCCTTTGTGCAGCGCGATCTCAGCACTCACCCACCGCAAGTTTGGGTCTCTCCACCTCCTGGCCTGATTAGCCTCTTGACTGTCATCCTGGGAACTCCTCGTGTCACCATCTTTCTCCTCCGTTCCCCTGGCCTTTCTGCCTGCCAAGCCTCTCGGTCGTCCGGCTTTACCTTCTCTGCATGGGAATTGCTGGGGGGCGGTGGCTTGTTGGAACTCCATGGAGTTCATATCCTCATGTCCCCAACGCCGCCCTGGGCCCCCTCACATCAGGGACTGGGGGATCCCATGCGCAGGAGGGAGCCCCACGTCCAGTGCTCAGCCTGGCCTGCTTGGATCAGGCCTTTGAGCTGGGGTCGGTCATTTCCACAGGCTGCCCCGACAGAGTGAAGCTGGGGGAGATGCCATCTGCTCTGTTTCATGCAGGTGGCACCGTGGCCCCTAAGCAAGGAAGCTGGGGGCCCCGCCAACCTAAAGCGCTCACTCCTCGGCTCCTCTTCGCTTTGCTTGCTCTGTCCATGCATGTGTGTTTCATCTTCCCACCCTGGACTAACGCCTGGGCACTCCTGCGCCCACTGCATGGGTCACATTCTGCCCCGTTGGACGAACTGATTCACCCAAACCTCTCAGCTCTCCATAGTCCACTGGCTTGTGCCTTCCTCCAGCCACAAGACGAGCAAATTCCTCCCCGGTGCAACTCCAGGGCTTTGGTGGGGCTGCCCCAGGGATGAATTTAGACCCATGTTGTTAAATGTGATGTTGGGGGGGGGATGGGGAGGGATCCAGCAAGGGAAACTCCTGCAAGGTGAGTGTGAAACTGACATGGACTGGGGAGGGCTGGGGTGGGGGCTGGGAGGAGAGCCAGCGTGCCAGGTTATGACACTGGTCCGGGTGCGATGTCCAGCTGGACAAAGCAGGGCTCTGCATCTGCCATCCTGAAGCAAAACCCCTGGGTTGGTTGGGTAGGGCTGGAGCCTGACGTGGAGGCCAGACCACCCAGGTGAGGATGGGGCTTTCTGCCGCATGACCCAGCCTCTGGGTCAGCTCGACCGACCCCTGCCGGGGCCCACACAGAGAGAGGTTCAGAGCGCTGAGCTGGCGAAGGCAGCTGGGATTCTAGTCAGCCGCTGCCTCTGCTGTGGAATCCACAACAGAAAGAAGCCAGTGGAGGGGCCCACGGAGACTGGAGATCTCTGAACCCAGCAGATGGAGAGAGCACCTTTCCCTGTCCTGCGGGTCTTTTATAGCACTGTAGCTAGGAACAGGCTGAGCGACGTCCTTCCCTGGGGCAGATGGCACATGGCCTGTCGTGTCTGTTGTGGTGGACGATTAGCCCCGGAGCTAACCCGCAGCCTCGTGGTTTGGGCAGAAGGCCTCCTCCGTAGGCCTCGGGAAGGACTCCAGAGCTGTATTGCCCCGTGGGGATCCTGAGCAAAGCCAGCCACTGGCTTTTTTCTGTGCCAGTTCCCCTTACGTGGCCAGATGTGGCATCCCTCAGGGAGCCCAGAGCATCCCAGCAGAGGGGGTTCTCACAGCAGGCTGTGTCTCAGGAGGGCCCTTGACATGCTGGCAGGAGGCTTGTTGGCGTTACGTTACTTTCCGGTCCTCGAGGGACTTCCCCCCAAGTGACCTGGCGCTGGGGGTTCAGCGGGCCTGGGACTGCATGGCGGCCGCCTGCAGCGGGGGAGCTCATAGGCTGTAATCGTCAGCAGTCCGGTAGCAGTCGCCCTAAACGCTCTGCGAGATGCTGTGCTGGCGGCTGCTCGGGTGAAATTCTGCAGTGTTTTGCCCAGGGCTGACGTCCCCCACTGCCTGCCTCAGTTTCACAGCAGCAGAGCATGGAAGAGGGACAGTCTCTGGAAGGCAGCAGGTTCGGGACCGGTGAGTGGAGAGGGGATGATGTCTCCGTGTCCTTGTCTCCTTGCAGGGAAGGGGGACCTACAGCCCCAGCTGGACAGTGCTCTCCAAGACGTCAATGACATGTACCTCCTTTTGGAAGAGACTGAGAAGCAGGCTGTCCGCAAGGCCCTCATTGAGGAGCGGGGCCGCTTCTGCACCTTCATCACCTTCTTGCAGCCAGTGGTGGTAAGTGCCGCTGCCCCAGGCCCTTCTGGGGAGGGGTGTGTTAGAGCTCAGCGGGCTGGTTTTCAAATCAACCAGCCAAGCAAGCCAGAAGCCAACCAGCTCCTGCTCTGTATCCCCCAACAGCCACTTCCCCACTGCCCCCAACCGTCTCCCCAGCAACAAACCCTCTCGCAAGCGTGGAGGAACACGCAGTCTCATCCTAGAGGCGCGAGGAGGCAGGCTTCTGTGTCTCTACGGCATCCCTCCCAACAGGATGTGGTGCCACACAGGTTTGGCCTGTCCTGCCCTCCGTAGAGGGAGATGGAGAGGCAGCCAAGCCAGACCCTCTGCGCTGCTCAGTTTAGGGGGGACCCTCAAATGGGGGTCTCAGGGAAAACTGCCCTTCAACCAGGATAGGGTCTTTGGGGATCAAAGTGGGAGAGTTCCGTGAAAGCTGGGACCGTTGGGAGGTGTGAGCTAAGGTTAGGGTGACAAGCTAGCATGTGTGAAAAATTGGGATGGGGGGGGCATTAAAGATGCTAGGAGACGTTTCACAAGAATAGGGAAGTTAGTTACAACCTGCCCTCTAGAATTCCCCAGGGCCTTTAGCGTGAACCAGACGTGTTCTTTTCCCTTCTTGTCCCTATGCTGCTGCGCGGTGCTGCCGGCCCCATTACGGCAGCTGCTGGCATTGTTCTCCCCCCGAGCTGGCTGCATTTCCTCGGTGGGTGATAGACGTGCCCTCCCAGTACGTATCTAAAAGGTGCTGGCCTTTCTCCGATTGCCAGGAACCACGCATGGCAGTGGCTGATACTGATCAGTTTTATTGTCCCATGTAACGGATTAGAACATACAGTACGTTCTGGCTGTGTTGGATGTATGGTGACTGATGGCTAGAACTCCGTCCCCAGCTGCAGAGCTCCGAGGCGAAATGCCAAGGAGGGGTTGACATTAGTCCCTCCCCAGGGTAAAAGTCACAGGGAACCAGGTTGAGGATCTCATGGAGCTGTGCTGCCAGGAGGGTTCTTGTGGCGGGGGACAGGACAGTTGCTCCATGGAATGGCTGGGAATTTGCCAGGCACAGCCCTCAGTGCTCCTGCTTCTCCCCAGGAGGCCAGCTGGTCCCACTTCACTCAGGGGCTGGTGCAATGGCAGGGTCCAGTTAAATCCCCCACTGGTGTAGATCAACGCCCCTCCCTTGGCTTTGTGGAGTGGGGCTGGGATTCGGATTCTCTCTACTTCGCCGGGGGTTTGCCAAGTAGGGGCTGATGAGCTCCTCTGGCTGCCCCACCTCTCTGATGCTGGGTCTTGCAGGCGTTCTGCTTGGGGGGCTGGCAGAACAGTCAGGGCCAGCCAGCTGGCAGGCAGAGCGGGTTTCACACACGCCTCATAAGCCACTGCTGACTTGGAGGAAGCCAAGCAGGGCAGGAAGGGAAGGGGAAGCCCTGGTTCCCACGGCACCGACTGCTGATGCTTCCTCCTCCTGCTGCTCAGACTGGAGAGATCACCATGCTGGGAGAGATCACTCACCTGCAGGGCATCATGGAGGACCTGGTGGTGCTGACCGCAGAACCGCACAAACTGCCCCCTGCCAGCGAGCAGGTGAGGGGCGCAGGGACTGGTGCGGGGGGTGGGAGGGAGTGCATGGGTGGGGGATGGGAATGTTTGGGGGGGAATATTTCCGGGAGGAGAGACAGCAGCGTGTCCACTGGCAGCAGAAACAGCCGGCCCCGACAGCGCTAACCCAGATGTCCATCGAGGGTCGTGCTGGAGGGAGGGGAGGGGAACAGAAGCACTTAGTTATAAATCAGCAGTTTCATCGATTCATAGATGCCAAGACCAGAAAGGACCATTGCAATCACCTAGCCCAGTAGTTCCCAAACTTTAACAACCCGCGAACCCCTTTCACGAAAATATCAAATCTCACAAACCCCCTCCTAAAAATGACTATTTCCAGGGATTTTCTCCCTTACCTGAGCATAAATTATAGAAGCAGTGATCTTGGAAATAATTTTTTTTTACACGCTTATTACACACTATTTATTATTACATTATTATTTATCAATACAGTATTAATTTTATTACTTTATGAAAATGGCAATACTCTTCCAAGATTTCATTTTATAGCTCATATCACGTCGATTAAGCCTCTTACATGTTTCATCAAGGAGTACCAGACGTGAAACAGCAGGAAGATATTTAAGACGCCAACTTAATTAAAGAGTTCCTCCCACAAGCATTCGGGTCTTGAGCAGTCCAGGAAAACAACGCACAACTACAACAAAGCTTAAACCTGTTCTGCCAGGAAGTCAGGAAGTCATGGTCACGGGGCTCGGGCTGCCAGCCCCCGCATCTGGGGTTCCTAGGGACGGCTCTGTCCGCCATGACAGAATTTTTTCAGAGAACCCCCTGATACATTTCGCAAACCCCAGTTTGGGAACCACTGACTTAGCCTGACTGTGACGTTCCCCTGGTGTTATCTGGACTGGTGATCTGCTAGATCACTCCAATCCTTGACTCTGGGAGCCAGTCTTACCCTGCTCTGCTGTGAGAACCCCACTCCTGGGCTGTTCACCCTCTGCCATGTAAGCTGCTCCCAGCTACGTGAGTGAGCACTTTTGCCCAGCCGCTGCTTGGCTTGTGCAACTGAATGACACTAGCCAATAGCTCCGGTCCGAGACACAATCCTAGGAACCTCCATCTTGTAGTGTCCAGTTATGGACGCTGGATGCTGCAAGCTTATATGAGCTCGTCAATTTAACAAAGAAATTTATATGTACCAGGCTTGTTATCCCAAGGGGAGTCTCTGACACACTTCAAACCAAACGCACTGCTTCAGGTAGAATAAACAGACAGATTTATTAACCACAAAAGATAGATTTTAAGTGATTATAAGTCAAAGCACAACAAGTCAGATTTGGTCAAATGAAATAAAAGCAAAATGCATTCTAAGCTGATCTTAACACTTTCAATGCCCTTACAAACTTAGATGCTTCTCACCACAGGCTGGCTGGTTGCCCTTCAGCCAGGCTCTCCCCTTTGATCAGCGCTTCAGTCGCTTGGTGGTGGTGGTGTCTGTAGATGGAGGTGGAAGAGAGAGGAAGAGCCTGGCAAACGTCTCTCCCTTTTATCATGTCCTTTCTTCCCTCTTGTCTTTGCCCACCCCCCCCACCCCCGGGTCAGGTGAGCATTACCTCATCGCAGTCCCAAACTGACCAGAGGAAGTGGGGTGACTCCCTCGAGAGTCCAACAGATCCTTTGTTGCTGTCTAGGCTAGTGTCCTTTGTTCCTGTGAGGCTGGGCTGGGTTTGTCCCATACATGCCCTGATGAGGTGTGAA